CTCAACTTTATGAATGTAGTTGTCTACTTTATGCAGTGTAAAGATACTACATTTTTGGCGACGAGGATTGGATTGTGACAACCAGAGAAAAAAAAAGAAAAAAAAGAAGCCTGGGACGACAACATATGGAGGATTAACCATGGCTACAGGAACTATTGGCTCACTAGCGGCATTTGATGCACAAGCTCAAACATGGGAAGAGTATTCTGAAGTACTGGAGCAATTTTTCGTGGCTAATGGAATTGAAGATGAGGGTAAGCAAAGAGCTATTCTCATAAGTGTTGTGGGACCACAAACTTACAGTGTGATGCGAAATATTCTGAGTCCAACAAAGCCAAGTGAAAAGACTTTTCAGCAACTGGTAACACTGCTAAAAAATCATTTCAACCCTCAGCCAAGTGAGATTGTACAGCGATTTAGATTTGATTCAAGGATGAAGAAGCCGACAGAGACTGTGACAGAATATGTAGCAGAGTTACGTCGTTTGGCACAAGATTGTAATTATGGAGCAACTTTGGATCAAATGCTGCGGGATCGACTTGTTTGTGGCATAGATGATGATCGGATTCAGAGAAGGCTGCTCTCAGAAGCAAATCTGACGTTTGAGACTGCTTTTAAAATTGCAGTAGCCAATGAAGCGGCAAGTAAAAATGTGCTCGACTTACAAAGTAAATCCAGCGTACAGGCATGTAACAGCGTCATGTATAAAGAGAGAAAACCTGATCGCTGGAAAAAGGGAGAAATGAGTGAACAAAAAGAATTAAGAGAATGTTACAGATGCTGTGGGACAAACCATAAAGCAAATGATTGCAGATTTAAGAAGGACAAATGTTATGTGTGTGAAAAAATAGGTCATATCGCCAGGGCCTGTCGTAACAAAAGTAAACAGAGTGGACCCACAATAACTGGAAGAAGTGGAAAAGGGGTGCGGCCGCATCGAGCATTTAATGTAAGTGACAATAATGACAGTGATGAATTTGAAGAAACATTCACGTTGGCATGTGTACAAACTGATGCACTGAAGAAAGTAAAACCCCTTACTGTTGAGTTAATTGTTAATGGCCGACTGATAAACTTTGAAATCGATACTGGATGTAGTGTCAGTCTTATGAGTGAGGAAATGTACAAGGTCATCTGGAAAGATTCTGAAGCTCCCAAACTGAGACTTACAAAAATCAAGTTGAGAACGTATACAGGAGAGCCATTGGGAATAGTGGGTGTGGCTGATGTAGAAGTAAAATACCAGCAGCAAGAAAAGATAATGCCACTTGTTATAGTGAAGGGAACAGGGCCTTGCTTACTAGGCCGATCCTGGCTTGAAGAGCTTCAAATGCAATGGAGTGAGATAAAGCTGGTGCAGTCGGAGATGACGTTGCAACAGGTGCTATTCCAGCATGCGGAAGTTTTCAAGGAGGAGCTGGGGACATTAAGGGGTGCTACTGCCACTCTGCATGTGCCGACTGATGCCACACCCAGGTTTTTTAGACCTAGATCTGTGCCATTTGCCCTGAAAACAAAGGTGGAGGAGGAGATTAATCGACTACTGCGGGACAAAATCATCTCACCTGTGAAGTACTCAGAGTGGGCAGCTCCTGTTGTTCCTATCCTGAAACCAGATGGCAGTGTAAGATTATGTGGTGATTACAAACTCACAGTTAACAGAGCCTCAAAATTGGAACAGTATCCCATACCAAGGGTGGAGGATCTTTTTGCTCGGTTGGAGGGAGGAAAACAGTTCACAAAACTGGATATGAGTCACGCATACCAACAAATCATCATGGATGAAAACTCCAAGAAATACTTGACAGTGAATACACAAAAAGGGTTATTCACATATAATCGTTTACCCTTTGGAGTTGCTTCCGCTCCTGCTATCTTTCAGAGAACAATGGAGGGATTGTTGCAAGGTATTCAAGGAGTAGTTGTTTATCTTGATGATATATTGGTGACTGGCGTAAATCAAGAAAGTCACTTGAAGACACTGGATGAAGTGCTGGCGAGATTGAAAGAAGCTGGTCTGCGATTGAAACGGGGAAAATGCATGTTCCTGGCAGATGAGGTGGAATATTTAGGCCACAGAGTAGATGCCCAGGGTTTACATCCGATGGCAATTAAAGTGAAAGCTATAGAAGAAGCACCAGAACCAAGTAATGTTGCAGAACTCAAAGCATATCTGGGCTTGCTCAATTATTATAATAAGTTCCTTCCCAACCTGGCAACGCTGCTAGCTCCTCTACATCTGCTGCTGAGAAAAGAGGTTCCGTGGATGTGGAAAAAGCCACAACAAGAAGCTTTCAAAGACTCTAAATCCCTGCTAAAATCAGCCGAGGTGCTAGTTCATTATTCCTCAGATTCTGAACTGGTTCTGGCTTGTGACGCCTCTCCCTATGGGGTGGGTGCAGTGCTCTCGCAGCGTAGAAAAGGAGAGAGTATGGAGAAACCCCTTGGGTTCATGTCAAGAACACTCACGTCTGCAGAGAAGCGTTATTCACAGTTGGACAAAGAAGGCTTAGCTGTGATTTTTGGCATCCAAAGATTTCATAAGTACTTGTATGGTCGGGCATTTACTATTTGCACTGATCATAAGCCCTTGATCCATTTGTTCAATGAAACGAAGGCAGTTCCTCAAATGGGATCACCCAGAGTGCAAAGGTGGGCTGTAATGTTACAAGCATATCAGTATAATATTGTGTACAAGCCAGGGAAGTACCATCAAAATGCTGATGCTCTAAGTAGACTCCCAGCGCCAGGCGAGGGAGAACCTGATGATACTAATGATCAGGTACTGATGATGGACTTAATGGATGACTCACCTGTAAGTGCAGCACAAATTCGGAAATGGACGTCTCACGACATAACACTCTCCGTGGTACATGAGTACATATTAAAGGGCTGGCCTGAGAAAGTAGAGCCTCAAGTGTTACCATACCATCATAGGAGAGATGCTTTGAGTGTCAAAGATGGATGTGTGACTTGGGGAGCGAGAATCATAATTCCCTCACAAGGTCGAGCGGCTATATTAAAGCAATTACATCAGACTCATACTGGTATGTCAAGAATGAAGGGATTGGCCCGATCCTATATGTGGTGGCCTGGTATGGATCAGGATGTAGAGAGGGTGGTCCAGAATTGTGAAGTATGTCAGCGTTTCCGAAAGGCACCTGCTCAAGCTCCTCTGCACCCGTGGGAATGGCCGAGCTCACCCTGGGAAAGACTTCATGTAGATTATGCAGGGCCTTCTTAGAAAGAATGTTCCTCATTCTGGTAGATTCTCATTCTAAGTGGATGGAAGTTTATCCTGTCACACATGCCACATCCCGAATTACAATTGAGAAACTGAGAATGTGTTTCAGTACTCATGGATTACCCAAAATGTTAGTGTCAGACAACGGGACATGTTTTACCAGTAATGAGTTTGAAATGTTCATGAAAAACAATGGCATTCATCATGTAACGTCAGCTCCTTACCATCCTTCTTCAAACGGCCTAGCTGAGCGAGCTGTTCAAACTTTCAAGGAGGGGATGAAAAAGATGAAAGGTGACACTGTGGAGACAAGAGTTGCAAGATTCTTGTTTAATTATAGAATCACTCCTCATGCAACATCAGGGTTGTCACCTGCTCAAATGCTAATGTCAAGGAAGTTGAGATCCACATTCGACTTACTCATTCCCGATATGAAGTCCAAAATTCTAAAAAAACAGCAGAAACAAAAAGAAAGCCATGACAAAAGCTGCAAACTTAGAAGTTTTGAAGTGGGAGATTCAGTGTACGTGAGGAATTATGGTGGTGGAACCAAATGGATTCCTGCAGTAGTGGAATGTTGTACAGGACCTCTGTCATACAAGACTGTGCTAGGGCATGGACTAACTGTGAAAAGACATGTGGACCAAATAAGAAAACGCTGTACAGACGAGATGCTTGAGACTGCACTACCCACTGAAAATGAACAGGATGGTGACACTTCTACATTGTCTAGTGAGGATGTGGCTAATGCACCTGCTGATGTGACTAATGCATCTGCTGAACAGGAGAGGGCTTCGCTTGAAGGAGGACCGTCGATAGAAGTGACTGTAGTAGAAAAAGAGACTAACCAACCTATACACCTGAGAAGGTCGGCAAGAGAGAGACGTGCTCCTGCTTACTTGAAAGACTATGTTACATAAGTTAAGTCAATAACTAAGATAGTTGTTGAGTTTAAAAAAAAAAAAAAAAAAAAATCTAGAATGTGGGTAATATTGTTTCATTTTGTAAGTAATTTATTGTAATTATTATTGGTGCTTAACTTAAGAAGGAGGGGATGTAGTATCTTGGAGTAACCACTAGGTGTCATTGTAATATAAGTGTTGTGTTTGATCTGGGAGACAGACATGTGATATGCTGGCGGCCTGGTGTGTGTATGGGCAAACAAACCAAGTAAAGCATTGACTCAACTTTATGAATGTAGTTGTCTACTTTATGCAGTGTAAAGATACTACAGGGTTCTAAGAATGCGTCAAAACTGCCGCCATCTTGGAACAGGGGTCTTGTCATTGGAAGTAGCTAGGTAACGCTGCTATCTCTGCCTTTACTTCGAATTCATTGATGGTGGCGGACGTTTGTGCAGCGTATGATGTTCACAGATGAAATCTGAACTAGGAAGAATGTTTTTAAAAAAAAATATACATTTTTCTTTCTTTCTGCAATCAACGATACGTACATGTTGACCGTTGGAACAAACAAGAAAAATCGCATTCATGATGATTTATGGTGATTTTATTTGCGTTAGACCTGTGTCTACTACATTGACGCTGATGCATTAAAGTGGAGGGGCTCCCCTGTTTCAAGATGGCGGCTCTATTGACGCATTCGTTCCAATGAACTGCCGTATCCAAGGTGACGTCTAGTGTATATGTCTATGAACAGTTTTTTTTTTTTTTTTTTTTTGTCTATGAACAGTGTCGAGTAGCGACAAACAGTTTTAACCAGTTAGGGTTAGGTTATCCTCCGTCACTTCCGCTCATGGGCGGGACTTCAGCACACGTGAGTAACGCGCCGCAAACATGGCGGATCCTAGAGAAGCGTTTTCAGATGAAGAGAAGGAACACACACACAGAGCCGAAGACTTAAAGCCGAGTGAAGACACATACGCCGAAGACATGGAGCCGAGTGAAGACACACACACCGAAGACATGGAGCCGAGTGAAAACACACACACCGAAGACATGGAGCCGAGTGAAGACACACACACCGAAGAGACACACAAGAGCTTCAGAGACCTGGTGAGACACGCGCACAGCTCTTCACCACACTCGGGTGTTACTGTTCACTTCTGTGCCCATTACTTCAGTGCCCTTTATTTCTGTGCCCATTACTTCACTGCCCATTACTTCAGTGTCCATTACTTCACTGCCCATTACTTCAGTCGTGCGAAACGACTCTTTCTGAATCAGAGATGCTTTGAACGCTTGTGTTTATTTCACGAAAGTCTGGTGCGCGTTCCCGCCGTCTGCTGGTGGACTCGAGAAGCGCGTGTACATCAGTCCGTTTAATTAATACTGTGTAATATTCACCTAATTAAGAACTCGAGAAGCGCAGTGTGCTGTTTCTGTGTAGATTATACTTTTGTATATTGGCTAATAATTGTAGATTTCCATAATTGTATTGTTATTGTTGTATAATAATAATTGTATATTGGCTTACTGTGACTGATAAGAAACTATTGTTGTTGTACACAGAGTGAACACACACACACACACACACACACAGAGAGAAAGTGTGTGCTGTTTCAGGGCATCTTTGACGCTGAGGTTCTGACAGTGGGTTAGGGTTAGTTTGACCGATATGAGTGTTTTGATAGCCGATGCCGAGAGCATGGCGGCCAATAAAAAGCTGATATTTATATTTGGGCTATATATATATAGCCTAAATATAAATGTTGGCTTTTTATCTGCATACATGTACATAAACACACGCGTGCACTCAAACACAATTTTATATTTATGTAAATCAATATTTACGCTTAGGCTCTATACTTTAGATGACAACTAATTTGAATCTGCAATCCAATTACAGTATATTTCACAAATAAAGTAATTGTTTAAAAACATGTGAATATGTGTAACAGGAAGTAAACACCGTAAGTCAGTAATCTGGTCATTTCCTGCGCACTGATAATCATATTTTCAAATAAAGATTTTTTTTTTTTTTACTTTTGAGAAGGTAACACTAATTTTACACACAGCACACAGTGAAAACCACATAAGAGCCAGTGGGACGCTGGTATAGCGCAGCATATTCAGAAATAGAGCATTTAAACAGTGTTTGGATGGAGTCTCCTGAAGCTGATCTTCTGTTCACACACACACACACACACTTCACAAGATTCCACAGCTGTGGTAAATCTGCAAGGTTTGTGAAATTAAATGTTTATTAGATATTCAGAGATTTGCTTAAATGATGTAGATGTGCATTTGCTGAATGTTGACGGTAATTGAGAAAGTATTTTAGGCTGATTGTTTGCCTTTTTGGTTACAAATAATATCAACGCAAACGCTTTACTTTTCCGCATACCATTCCCATGTGTGATCAGGCGCTGGTGTTATAAGTGCCGCCCGCCACAATAAAAGTCCCACTTCCAACACATCGGCCAATCAGGAAAAACTGTTTTTTATATACGTTTTTCTGATTGGCTAGGAATTGGGACTTTTTTTGGGCATTTATAACACCAGCCAATATCGGCCCACCACTAGAGTGACCACACACACACACACACACACACACACACACACACACTGAGAGTGTTTGTGCTGTTTCAGGGCGTCACTGAGGTTCTGTGTGAAGCCTGTGATCAGCTGGGCTGGAAGAAACCCACCAAGATCCAGATCGAGGCCATTCCTGTCGCTCTGGAGGGTGAGCACACACACACACACACACACTCTCATACACTCACTGTGTGTCGTGACATGATCGGTCTGGCGGAGACTCTCTCTCTAACGTGTGTGTGTGTGTGTGCAGGCCGTGATGTGATCGGTCTGGCGGAGACGGGTTCGGGGAAGACGGGGGCGTTCGCTCTGCCGATCCTCCAGTCTCTGCTGGCGTCGGCTCAGCGTCTGCACTCACTCGTCCTCACGCCCACCCGAGAGCTGGCCTTCCAGATCGCGGAGCAGTTCGACGCCCTCGGCTCCAGCATCGGCGTCAAGACCGGTGCGCCTTCCCAGCATGCACTCGCTCGACACGCCCTTCCCAGCATGCACTCGCTCGACACGCCCTTCCCAGCATGCACTCGCTCAACACGCCCTTCCCAGCATGCACTGTTATCATTTAACACACCCTTCCCAGCATGCACTGTGACCTCTAAACACACCCATCCCAGCATGCATTGTGACTGCTTACCCTTCCCAGCATGCACTTGCTGTTAATATGGCTCTTTACATCACAGCTTCTCTGTCTGTCCATAATAGAGCTGCATGTGTGGTCAGGTCATGTGATGCAGTAAATGTTGTGAACATCTGTGTGTGTGTGTGTGTGTGTGTTTCAGCGGTTGTCGTGGGAGGGATTGATATGATGTCTCAGGCTCTGGTTCTGGCCAAGAAACCTCACGTGGTCATCGGTAAGAGCTCATGAGCGTGGCCGTCTGTGCTGGATGTTAGAGTTGAATCATGGGTAATAATCCTGCTCTGCCTCGCAGCGACTCCGGGCCGCTTGATCGATCACCTGGAGAACACCAAAGGCTTCAACCTGAGAGCGCTCAAATATCTGGTGATGGACGAGGCCGACCGCATCCTCAACATGGACTTTGAGTCTGAGGTACACACACACACACACACACACACCACTATATATTTATAATTATACAGTTGTAATCAACATTATTTAACGCCCATCGCAAAGCAGGTTTATTGGCAAAATGTACAGACTTTCAGCTGTTTACAAACAACAAATCAAGCAAAAGTAAGTGAGATAGCCCAACACAAGTGGTTTCCTCAAACTGCAGGTCAGGGGTCGTCTCACTAATCAAGGGCTTCATGAGCGTGTGCGTGAGCGAGAACACTCAGGGTTCGGGTTGAGTGTCACGTTTGACTGCATGTTAAAATAAGTCAAAAGAACGGTCCTAAAGGAAGGAGAAGATATGATTGTCCTTTACAAACAAGAACAGGAGACAGGAAGATCGTGAAGCGTAGTTCGCTATGGACCAGTGATTGCGCTCACTGGACGGGCAGAAGGAAGCGGTCAGCGGTTCAGATGAGACAACTGTCCGTCCCTCTGGATCAGCGGTGTGTGTGTGAGTGTGTGTGTGAGGATCAGCGGTGTGTGTGTGTGTGAGGATCCTGAAGCTGGATCTTCAACAGGACAGTGATCCCAAGTGCTAAAGATGTTTGCCATGAAGGGGTTAAATATTTGAGTCATTAAGTTGCATTTCCAGTTGAATTTGGGGAAACCACTTGAAACAATTGTTGAGCTCTTTATATTACTTTTGTTTGATTTGTTCATTGCAAACAGCTAAAAATGTGTCAATTATGCCAATAAACCAGATTTGCAATCAGACCTGCATGTCGAGCTCAATGATCTGATGACCGAAGCTGAGCTCAGTGTGTGTGTGTGTGTGTGTGTGTTTAGGTGGATAAAGTCCTGAAGGTCATCCCACGCGACAGACGCACATTCCTGTTCTCAGCCACCATGACTAAAAAGGTAAACGTCTGCATTTGTGTGAAGTGTGTGTGATCTGATGATGTGCTCTGGTCTCGCTGGTTTCAGTCTGATGATGTGTTCTGGTCTCGCTGGTTTCAGTCTGATGATGTGTTCTGGTCTCGCTGGTTTCAGTCTGATGATGTGTTCTGGTCTCACTGGTTTCAGTCTGATGTGTTCTGGTCTCGCTGGTTTCAGTCTGATGTGTTCTGGTCTCACTGGTTTCAGTCTGATGTGTTCTGGTCTCGCTGGTTTCAGTCTGATGATGTGTTCTGGTCTCGCTGGTCTCAGTCTGATGATGTGTTCTGGTCTCGCTGGTCTCAGTCTGATGTGTTCTGGTCTCGCTGGTTTCAGTCTGATGATGTGTTCTGGTCTCGCTGGTTTCAGTCTGATGATGTGTTCTGGTCTCGCTGGTTTCAGTCTGATGATGTGCTCTGGTCTCGCTGGTTTCAGTCTGATGATGTGTTCTGGTCTCGCTGGTTTCAGTCTGATGATGTGCTCTGGTCTCGCTGGTTTCAGTCTGATGATGTGCTCTGGTCTCGCTGGTCTCAGTCTGATGATGTGTTCTGGTCTCGCTGGTTTCAGTCTGATGTGTTCTGGTCTCGCTGGTTTCAGTCTGATGATGTGTTCTGGTCTCGCTGGTTTCAGTCTGATGATGTGTTCTGGTCTCGCTGGTCTCAGTCTGATGATGTGTTCTGGTCTCGCTGGTCTCAGTCTGATGTGTTCTGGTCTCGCTGGTTTCAGTCTGATGATGTGTTCTGGTCTCGCTGGTTTCAGTCTGATGATGTGTTCTGGTCTCGCTGGTTTCAGTCTGATGATGTGCTCTGGTCTCGCTGGTTTCAGTCTGATGATGTGTTCTGGTCTCGCTGGTTTCAGTCTGATGATGTGCTCTGGTCTCGCTGGTTTCAGTCTGATGATGTGCTCTGGTCTCGCTGGTCTCAGTCTGATGATGTGTTCTGGTCTCGCTGGTTTCAGTCTGATGATGTGTTCTGGTCTCGCTGGTTTCAGTCTGATGATGTGTTCTGGTCTCGCTGGTCTCAGTCTGTTGATGTGTTCTGGTCTCGCTGGTCTCAGTCTGATGATGTGTTCTGGTCTCGCTGGTCTCAGTCTGATGATGTGTTCTGGTCTCGCTGGTTTCAGTCTGATGATGTGTTCTGGTCTCGCTGGTTTCAGTCTGATGATGTGTTCTGGTCTCGCTGGTTTCAGTCTGATGATGTGTTCTGGTCTCGCTGGTTTCAGTCTGATGATGTGCTCTGGTCTCGCTGGTTTCAGTCTGATGATGTGTTCTGGTCTCGCTGGTTTCAGTCTGATGATGTGTTCTGGTCTCGCTGGTTTCAGTCTGATGATGTGTTCTGGTCTCGCTGGTTTCAGTCTGATGATGTGCGCTGGTCTCACTGGTTTTAGTCTGATGATGTGTTCTGGTCTCGCTGGTTTTAGTCTGTTGATGTGTTCTGGTCTCGCTGGTTTCAGTCTGATGATGTGTTCTGGACTCGCTGGTTTCAGTCTGTTGATGTGTTCTGGTCTCGCTGGTTTCAGTCTGATGATGTGCTCTGGTCTCACTGGTTTTAGTCTGTTGATGTGTTCTGGTCTTGCTGGTTTCAGTCTGATGATGTGCTCTGGTCTCGCTGGTTTCAGTCTGATGATGTGTTCTGGTCTCGCTGGTTTCAGTCTGATGATGTGTTCTGGTCTCGCTGGTTTCAGTCTGATGATGTGTTCTGGTCTCGCTGGTTTCAGTCTGATGATGTGTTCTGGTCTCGCTGGTTTCAGTCTGATGATGTGTTCTGGTCTCGCTGGTTTCAGTCTGATGATGTGTTCTGGTCTCGCTGGTTTCAGTCTGATGACGTGTTCTGGTCTCGCTGGTTTCAGTCTGGTGATGTGCTCTGGTCTCGCTGGTTTCAGTCTGATGATGTGTTCTGGTCTCGCTGGTTTCAGTCTGATGATGTGTTCTGGTCTCGCTGGTTTCAGTCTGATGATGTTTTCTGGTCTCGCTGGTCTCAGTCTGATGATGTGTTCTGGTCTCGCTGGTTTCAGTCTGATGACGTGTTCTGGTCTCACTGGTTTCAGTCTGATGACGTGTTCTGGTCTCGCTGGTTTCAGTCTGATGATGTGCTCTGGTCTCACTGGTTTCAGTCTGATGACGTGTTCTTGTCTCGCTGGTTTCAGTCTGTTGATGTGCTCTGGTCTCACTGGTTTCAGTCTGATGACGTGTTCTGGTCTCGCTGGTTTCAGTCTGATGATGTGCTCTGGTCTCGCTGGTTTCAGTCTGTTGACGTGTTCTGGTCTCGCTGGTTTCAGTCTGATGATGTGCTCTGGTCTCGCTGGTTTCAGTCTGATGATGTGTTCTGGTCTCGCTGGTTTCAGTCTGATGATGTGGTCTGGTCTCGCTGGTTTCAGTCTGATGACGTGTTCTGGTCTCGCTGGTTTCAGTCTGATGATGTGCTCTGGTCTCGCTGGTTTCAGTCTGATGACGTGTTCTGGTCTCGCTGGTTTCAGTCTGATGACGTGTTCTGGTCTCACTGGTTTCAGTCTGATGACGTGTTCTGGTCTCGCTGGTTTCAGTCTGATGATGTGTTCTGGTCTCGCTGGTTTCAGTCTGATGACGTGCTCTGGTCTCGCTGGTTTCAGTCTTTTGATGTTTTCTGGTCTCGCTGGTCTCAGTCTGATGATGTGTTCTGGTCTCGCTGGTTTCAGTCTGATGATGTGTTCTGGTCTCGCTGGTTTCAGTCTGATGATGTGTTCTGGTCTCGCTGGTTTCAGTCTGATGATGTGTTCTGGTCTCGCTGGTTTCAGTCTGATGATGTGTTCTGGTCTCGCTGGTTTCAGTCTGTTGATGTGCTCTGGTCTCACTGGTTTCAGTCTGATGATGTGTTCTGGTCTCGCTGGTCTCAGTCTGATGATGTGTTCTGGTCTCGCTGGTTTCAGTCTGATGATGTGTTCTGGTCTCGCTGGTTTCAGTCTGATGATGTGTTCTGGTCTCGCTGGTTTCAGTCTGATGATGTGTTCTGGTCTCGCTGGTTTCAGTCTGTTGATGTGCTCTGGTCTCACTGGTTTCAGTCTGATGATGTGTTCTGGTCTCGCTGGTTTCAGTCTGATGATGTGTTCTGGTCTCGCTGGTTTCAGTCTGATGATGTGTTCTGGTCTCGCTGGTTTCAGTCTGATGATGTGTTCTGGTCTCGCTGGTCTCAGTCTGATGATGTGTTCTGGTCTCGCTGGTCTCAGTCTGATGATGTGTTCTGGTCTCGCTGGTCTCAGTCTGTTGATGTGCTCTGGTCTCGCTGGTTTCAGTCTGATGATGTGTTCTGGTCTCGCTGGTTTCAGTCTGATGATGTGTTCTGGTCTCGCTGGTCTCAGTCTGATGATGTGTTCTGGTCTCGCTGGTTTCAGTCTGATGATGGATGCTTCTCATTTCTTATTTGTGCATCCTCGTTTCCTTCCCTTGCTTCCTTTCCTTGCGTCTCAGCTCCACCCCCTGTAGGACGCGAGGGGAAGGAAGCGAGGAAAGGAAAGGAGGACAGAGGAATCGAATAAAAGCTTTTTTATATACATTGGAATTCTTGATCACTCGAGCGTCACTCCACAGTGTCATCAGCAGCGCTAAAAGGATCTGCCCTTATGATGTTGAAGTTTGGTTATTTAATAAATTCATAATAAATAATAATAAAGATAGGCTATACTGTTGAAATATCTGAGATGTGTGGTTTATATAAACTGCAAAGGTAAAGTATAAATCAGTCCCTCCAGGATTTCGCGGGCCTTTTTTGTGATTGTTGCGGCCTAAAATGCCTGATGTTGCGGCCGCTTTTTTAAAAAGTTGCGATAAAAGTTGCGATGTTCTTCTGCATGTTTTTATAGGTTAAAACGGCAAAGATAGATAGATTTTTACTTAAAATGCCCATATTATGCTTTTTGGCTTTTCCCCTTTCCTTTATTGTGTTGTTATATTTTTTTGTGCATGTTATAGGTTTACTAAGAGAGAAAAGTCCAAAGTCCACCCCAAAGGGACTTATTATGTCCCACAGAAAACACTGTTCATCATCTGCATCTGCTCTATTGTAGTCCAGAATTGACTTAAGAGACAAAGTCACACACTTTGTAACACACGAACAAACTAACCAACCATTAGTAACCATAAAAGGCAAAACAAACGATTTAAAGACACAGCAAAACCTAACAAACTAAGCTTCTTTTTTTTTTTAAACAAGATCTGCACCTGCAAAAAAAGTCAATGTGCAGAACCTCACAAACATTAAGCAGCATTTATGTTGAAAGATGCCAATACTAATAAAGTGCAAAATACAGTTTTAGGAATAGCCACTAAAGTTAAATGGTGGAAAAACCAAATGTTTGATAATGTATTTTAATATAGCTAATATAATATAATATAGCCGCATATCCAATAAAGCTGTTCTCATTTGCTTAATTTTTTTTTGTCAGACAATAGATCGAGTCGGCTAGCTATTTTTTATGTGTAAAATTTTCTGAATTGAGAGAGTTCGGGAACTGGGTGAACTAATGCACTGTGATAGTGAGTAGCCTATTACAAGTGATAAACACAAGAAAAGAAAGGAAAATAAAATGGTCAAACTCAATTCTTTAAATATAAAACAAAAGAGAAGCAGATAAGTGATAAGTCCGTGGAAACAACACTGCTCATTCGCGTCTGTCAGCTGCCGTGCCGTTCACTGAACAGGGACGCAGAGAGAGGTGTGACGGCAGGGAGAAAGCAAACCTCGCGCTCGCTGGCAACATTTGGTTACTGAGGTTTGTCCAAAAAGCCGCTAGATTTGTCTCTAGTCGCTTTTTTATATCACTAAATATAGCGACAAAGACTAAGTTGGCAATGTCGTGTCTTTAAATTAAATAAAGACTCTGGATTCGAACTGTTCAACTGTATGAACGTGTTTGCTTTACTTACTTTTTGCAACGTTAAACATACATGACATTCACTGGTGCTTCTCGTCCACTTCCCGTGACATCATCTCTATTGCGCCAACCTAGAACAC